ATGAGCAAAAACGGGACGGAAAACATGGAATTTTGGCATAATCTTGCACCTAAGTGTCTGATATTCAAATTTTGCTTTCTGGGTCAAAACTACTCAAATTTCCTCATTAACGTTGTTACGACTGAATAGACTTTTCAATTCTCTATCCAACGATGCCAAAACGAATTCTGTGGCTCGAATGGTTCTTGAGAAACTTCCGATACTAAGATCAGTAAAACTCGATTACTTTTCAGTTTGCTTGTTTTTGAAGAAATCCCCCCGGATTTCTTTATTTGCGACGCAGTTTATATTGAGTATTGAGAACTGTTCTGAAACAAACCCACTTGCCTTCCATGTTAACAATTCGTTACTAATCTCGATTAATATTGACCTAAGAAGGGCCTTAGACAATGGAGGCGTAAATTACAGAACAAATAAAAGGATAAATGGCCATATTTAATGTACAAAACGACGACATATTACACCCAGAGAGTTCCACACTTTGTAGGTTTATCGTGTTGATCTTTTAGTTTAACTGGTAGTCGTGATTTAGTACGCCGAGCTGGTTAGTATGTTAGCGGACATGGCAAAAATAGGCATTGTCATGCTAAGCAAATTTGCCTTGTGCGACTCGTCAATGGATCTTTTTATTATTTAAATTGCTTTACTAGTTGAAAGGTGCTAAAATGGTACTCTGACGAGCTCATCAGAGTGCCATTAAGTGTTTAACTCCGCTATACAGGGACGATCAAATGTCTGCAGGCTCTAAGCGAGCACTGCTCGCTTCCCCCAGTTTTATGCCAAGCGAATTCTGGTAGTTCTGACTGGTGTTTTGGTTTGTTTATTTAAACGTACAAATCGCTTTTCAGTCCTCTTAAATAAGTCAATAGAGGCCCCGTTCAGCCCACATAAAAATATAATGAACGTCGTACACCTATAATCACCAGTAATTAAAAGTTACCATTTAATGGCTGTCGTAGGGTGGCCGCGCCCGAAATTAATATCAAACATTTAATGAATGGTTGCATTTTAATTAAGAAATCTTTTGGGTGCAAATTTAATAATGGGCCACGAGCGTCCCGACGAAATTTCCCGTAATGAGTTTCGGCTTTTGTGACCTGCGTAGGCTCCTCTTTAGAGTAATAAATATTACTTCCACCTTCTTTCAATAATATGACGAAATTTAATTATTATTAGAAGTAAGCAGAGGGCACGAGAATGTTTATTGAAAGCTAAGCCTAAGCAGAAATCAGATGAAGGAAAGTAAAGGAAGTTAAAAAATTCGGAGCAGAAGAGCAACGTTGTGTGTAGCCTTAAGAGAAAAGCAGATGCGTCCAGAAAAAAATCAAAATTGGAACATCAGAAGAGACCAGAAAAAAGTTAAATACTTTCGGAGAAAAGGGCAAAGAGTCTGGGTTTTTCAAAGAAAAAAATGAAAATTTTCTGAAGATAAAAGTCGCGACTTCAGATAAAAGAAGGCAGAAGAAGTTAAATGTTTCGAAACAGAAGCGCAAAGTTGTGTGACGAGAAAAACAGAAATGCCCAGAAGATAAGCTGAAATCGCGACTTCAGGGCATACCAGATGGGAGAAGTTAAAGAGTTCTGAAGAAAAGGCTAGAAAATAAGGTTCTCCTAAACGACAAATGAAAATAATACTCAAAAAAGCAAATAAAAATCAGGATTTCAGATGAAATCAGACGAAGCAAAGGAAGTTACATATTTCGGAGATAAGCCCAATGTTGTGTGCTGCCCTACGGGAAAAACAGAAATGTTCAGAAGATGAACCCAAAATGGGAACTCAGGGAAGACCAGATTAAATTAGTCAAAAACTTCTGAAGAGAATGAAATGAATAAAGGAGAAAAGAAAGAAAGAAAAGAAGTAAAATTTTTCAGAACAGAAGAGCAACGCTGCATGTTGCGTTAGGAAAAATGCAAAAATTTCCAGAAGATAAACCAAACTCGGGACGTCCAGGGAGACCAGATAAAAGACGAGAGAAAAAACAAACAAGTGTGAGTCTTTCCAAGAGAAAAATGCAAATGCTTAGAAGATAAATAGAAATCGGGAGTTCAGATGAAATAAAATGAAAGAAAACAAGAGAAGGTAAATATTTCGGAGCAGAAGAGCGATCTTGTGTGTTGCCGTAAGAGAAAAGCAAAAATGTCCAGAACATAAGCCGAAGTCGGAACTTTAGGCCGGCGGCCAAGTGGAAAAGTTAAAGACATCGGAAGAGAAAAGCAGAAAATTGTGGGTTTTGTCTTGGAGAAAAATGTAAATGCCCATAAGATAGAAATTAGGACTTCAGATGAGGTGAGGATCAAAGAAAGCAAAACCAGTTAACAATTTTGGAATATAAGAGCAACGTTGTTTGTTGCCTTACAAGAAAGGCAGAAATGTCCAGAAGATAAACTGAAATAGGGACCTCAGGGCAGACCAGATGGGAGAAGTTAAAGAGTTCTGAAGAAAAAAGCTAGAAAATATGAGTTCTGCTAAAAGACAAATTGAAATATCCAGAAGGCCAATAAAAATCAGGATTTCAGATGAAATGAGACGAAAGAAGGCAAAGGAAGTTACATATTTCGGAGATAAGCTCAAAATTGTGTGCTGCCGTACGGAAAAAACAGAAATGTTCAGAAGATGAACCGAAATCGGGAACTCAGGGGAGACCAGATGAAATTAGTTAAAGACTTCTGAAGAAAATGAAATGAATGAAGGAGAAAACAGATAAAGCAAAAGAAGTTAAATTTTTAAGAACAGAAGAGCAACGCTGCATGTTGCGTGAGAAATGCAAAAATTTCCAGAAGATAAACCAAAATCGGGACGTCCAGGGAGACCAGATAAAAGACGAGAGAAAAAAGCAAACAAGTGTGAGTATTTCCAAGAGAAAAATGCAAATGCTCAGGAGATAAATAGAAATCAGGAGTTCAGATGAAATAAAATGAAAGAAAACAAGAGAAGGTAAATATTTCCGGGGCAGAAGATTGACCTTATGTGTGGCCTTAAGAGAAAAGCAAAAATGTCCAGAAGATAAACCGAAATCGGAACTTTAGGCCGAAGACCGAGTGAAAGGGTTAAAGAATTCGGAAGAGAAAAGCAGAAAAGAGTGGGTTTTATCTAAGAGAAACCTGTAAATGTTCAGAAGATAAATATAAATTAGGACTTCAGATGAGGTGAGATCAAAGAAAGCACAAAACAAGTTAACAATTTTGGTATAGAAGAGCAACGTTGTTTGCTGCCTTACGAGAAAGACAGAAACGTCCAGAAGATAAACCGAAATCGGGATCCCAGACCCAAGACTTCTTAAACAGAAAGGTGAGAAATTGCGTGTATTCGTAAAGAAAAACTGGAAATGCCTAGAAGATAACCAGAAACCAGGACTTCAGATTAAATCAAATGAAATAATGAGGATGATGAAGTGGAAGATTTTGGAATAAACCCAAGATAGTGCGTGTTTCCTTAAGAGACAAACAGAAAGGTCTGAAACATAAACGTTAAAACTCATGAACGAAAACAAGATCAAACAAATACAATAATCGCAACTCATTTTACAGGGACAGATGAAAATCTGTTTTCACTTGTGCTTATTTGTCGCTTGAACCAACTTTGCTAAAGTCATGTTTTGTTGAATTTGGCATAAATCAGGCTTCCCGGAACCAGGCCACTTGACAGTCGCCTTATCCGGTTGGTTCGAAATGTTTTTCGTAAAAGAAACCGTTCGGAATGCATAAACCAACACAGCCAAGAAATTTGCACACACGTTACTTTATGACATGCGGAATTATCTGATGGTTTTATGCCACCAAGTCGTATAATTTAGTTTGAAAAGCGCCGCTAACGGGGTGTCCTGAAGATGCTCGACTGATAAAAGTCTGCAAAAGCAAAAAAAATCTTTTCAAAACACGTTGGCGATAACCATAGGGAACTGTTGCACTTCTCCCTTGCGATCGCGATTAGCTGTTGTTTGAAATTGCTGATGGTATCGACTATGTGCATCAGCTGAAAAAATAAAATTTCAATGACGAGAGGACGCAATTGAAGTCAAGCTAAAATCCGGTTGAAGAGGACGGAATGGATGAAATACGGGACAATGCTGCAGAAGCTCCCTATTGCGACAAAATGCAAAATTATGGCAACAAAAGAGTTGACATTCGGAAACAAA